CCGGGCCCAGTACTGACCCCTGCAGGACACCACTGGCCACAGGCCTCCAACCAGACTCGGCCCCATTTATCACCACCCTCTGGGCTCTGCCATGCAGCCAGTCCTCAATCCACCTCACTGTCCACTCATGCAGTCCACACTTCCTAAGCTTTCCTATGAGGATGTTATGGGAGACTGTGTCGAAAGCTTTGCTGAAGTCAAGGTAGACAACATCCATGGCTCTCCCATCATCCATCCAGCTGGTCACCTCATCGTAGAAGGCTATCAGGTTCGTTAGACATGACTTCCCCTTGGTGAATCCATGCTGACTACTTCTGATCCCCTTATTTTCCTTGACATACCTAGAGATGGTCTCTAGGATGAGCTGCTCCATCACCTTTCCAGGGATGGAGGTGGGGCTGACTGGCCTGTAGTTTCTTGGTTCCTCCCTCTTGCCTTTTTTTGAGGACTGGAGTGACCTTGGTTTCTTCCAGTCCTCAGGCACCTCCCCCACTCTCCATAACCTCTCGAAGATGATGGAGAGCAGTTGAGCAATGACTCCTGCCTGTTCCCTCAGCACTCTTGGGTGCATCCCATCCAGGCCCATCGATTAAGGGGTGTCCAGCTTGCCTAATTAATCCATAACCCAGTCCTCCTATAATCTCCCTGTGAGCTGCGCAGGGGGCTGTGCAGGGAGGTGCAGCCCAGTGGAGTGGGGACAGCGGTTCCTGAGCAGAGCAGGCGCCAGGCCTGGGCCCCGTGGCATGGGTAGACCTCCTGCCTGCCTTATGCCTCATGGCTGTATGGGAAAGAGCCATGTGGGACAAGCGAATTTCTAGTGTGTAAGAAACTGGGAAATTTCATATTTCTGAAGCATTTCTTGTGGTTCTTGCAGGCAAGGGCTCATTTTGAGCTCTGCCTGCAGTAAAGGGGAGGCCTGGTTGCTCTGGGGGCTCTACAGCAAGGAGGAGCGAGGCCAAGCGGTGCTGACGCCTCCCAGGCAGATAGACAGGTCCCGCTCTGGGCTCTTGGCCGAGTCTGGTGGATTATTCCAGTCCCAGCAGCCAGGGGCAGCCCACTTGGCTTGGTTTTGTGGCAACTTTTCCAGCAACCTCTTTCATCCAGAAGTACTGAGCTGCTGAGGACTGGAGCGGCCTGGTCCTAGCCGGGCGCTAGGCAGCCTGGACCTGCCTGTGCACCCTCTGGCAATGAGGACGAAGGGCGGCCCCAGCCCACCCTGCTCCCGTCTCGTCCCATTCCGTCCCTCGTTTGGCTGCTCCCTTTTCCCCGCGACAGCGTCAGGAGCAGCCTGGCTGCCACCCACCCTGGCAGCAACAGCCTTCAGGCGGAAAAACGACAAGAAAAATGCACAATCGCTCGCCAGCGTTACAGCCAGCGCGACTGTGTTAATTCCCTGGTGCAGTTGCGTTATAGCCGCAGCTAATTCAGCATTGTTTTGTTTCCCTGGGGATCAGCTGCAGATATTTTGTATTTAAATATCAGAGAGGTTTAAAATAAAATTAGAAATTAATGTGTAGGATGCGTGGATACTTTAAACAAATATATTTTGAAAACTTTGTTGTGAACAGGTCTGCTTGAGAAGTGAAGACCTTAACAGGTCAATTGCAGGAAATGTTTTTCTGGAATTAGAAAAAGGTTTTCCTGCCTTGGGTAGAAGCAGTACAATCTCCCAAAATGTCAAGGGTAACTGTGGCAGCATCAGCAACTTCTGGCAAAGTAACACTGAAGGCAAGAAAATTTTTGTTTTGTCTAAAAAGGAGGTAATGGGACATAACCTTTACATTTACTGCATTATCAAAATATGCCTCACATGGTTCATTTGGAAATCAACCAATTATGATTTTTGCTTTAGTAACTCCTGGGTTTTAAACTACTGTCAAAATTATTGTATTGTTTAGATTGTAGTGAACTTCCCTAATCTGTAAAAGTCCCCACAGCCTTTTAGCCCCAGCAAAAGTTAGCGCAGGGTTAGAAAGCCATTTCCTTTCTCAAAGCATTCAGTCTTTGCTAATTCTCTGCTGTACAGTTGCAAATGTACCCTTAAAAATACTGCGGCTTCTGAGAAACGTTGTGAAAAATGCGAACGTTTCAGTATTTATGCTTTACGTTTTTTTTTCTTCATTCAATAGGAATGCAAATCTCTCCCTCCTTTTCATAGAAAAAAAAAGCCTATTATATTCAATAAATCATATTTCAGTGAAATTCTATTGTTTATGTGTGCCACTCCCCTCTAGTGAATAAAAGAGGAATTGCTCCATCTCATGCCATGCCGTGGACTCCCAGCTGGCTGTGGACAACCAGATTATGGACATTTTCTTTAACTTTCCCTGACAAGGAAATATAAAATCTTTTTTTTTTTTTTTTTGAGTTAAACACTGTGAGCTTTTCCTCCCTGCTGTGCTTATTAAGGACAAAATAATGCTTCAGGACGATCAGATCTGGCAATCAAATCTTCACTATGAAGTATACCAAGTTTGCTATACTCACTCCTTTCACACATAATGCCCATGTAAATTTAGAATTTAAACATGAAGTAAAAAAATCTGTAAGCCTTTGAATAATGCATTTATTCACTAATTTTAACCTTTCTATGATTCTATGATTCCACAAGAACCTTTAAGTTGTTGGCTTAGTTGTAGTTAAGTGTGCAAGCCAAGATATAAATCCATGTATTTTCACACGTTCTTGTTGAACAGGAGAATGAATATTCTAATATGATTTACAGGAAAAAAAGAATAGGTACATGATACATGTTCTGAGATGTGGCAGCTGAGCACATGCCAGGTGTGAGATTTCCATGGCCAAAGACCACATATAGCAGTCATTCTAGTCTCTCCTTGTCCTCCTTGGAGAGAAATATGGACATTATCCCTTGACGTACACATCTCAGCCAGGCCCAATAGCTCATGCTCAAAACCTGCTTGTTTCTTTTGTCTGCGAGGTCCCATGTTCTTAAAGATGGCACAGGAATATAATAAAGCTCTAGTTTTATATATGCTACACAAGTTTATTAGAGGGAGCCATAAACTGATTTTAAACTAGAAAAACATGAATTATGAAGAATGGGGATTAGGAAAGGAAGAGGAGGCAGAGGTTTCCACCAATGACCATACTGAGTCACAGTGTGCAGTGTCTCATCCAAGTCATTCCTAGTATCTGTATTATGAATCTGACAAAAAGAGTGTGCCATAAAGGTAAGGAAAAAGCCAAACAACAGATGTACATATCTTTAAAACTGTCTGGTACAATGACATTTTAGTTGAGTCACTGCATACTCACTGTGACCTAGGTACTGTCCTTTGCCCCGGTATCTTACTTGTTTCTCAAGCTGGTGACTGAATGACTACAGGTTCGTATCGTCCCGGGAGTCTATACGCTAATAACAGGATGCTTACATGTAGATATATTAGATTGTCTAATCTAAGGTAATCTAGATCTAATTAGATTATATTTCTTGCTTGAAAGACATTTATTTTCTGGTTCTCTTTTACAAGCACATAGAACACATTCAGATTATAATTATTGATAAATATTGAAAAATTATTATAATACATCTAAATTTTTCATTCTGATGAAAGCAGGTAGGAGATAACAAGGTTTTAAGTAACAGCCAGCATGAATTTGTGAGGAGCAAATCATGTCAATTATTTTATGTTCTTACTAGGGTAAGGAGGTAGGTTAGGCACTATTACTTCTGATCTAGTCTATCACTATAGATTTTGCAGAAATGGTCTTGCATGCATTGAGTCAGCAATGCCATGCTGTTAGAGCAGAAAGGAGCATAAGAGATGGGGAATAGCCAGTAATATCATGTATAAGGCAAGTAACAATCCTTCCACTTTACCTGGCCCTGGAAGGGCTTTAGTTGGATCTCGTGTTCCACCTTAGTTGACATAGTTCATATGTGACATGGAACTTTCTGGAGGGGTTCCAGAGAGGACAAGGGCACTCTGATATTTGGAAGATATGTCTGTGAGGAAAGAGAGAAATAATTCCTTAGTTTCTGGGAGAAAAAAAGATATGGTGAGACTTTAAGTCTCTGAATATGTAGAGTGATTCAAAAAGGACAGGAACACATTATTTCCTAGTCCCCTGAGAATATGCTTATATGCAGAGAGGGGCATCAGGATTGACATAGTTTCCTATTTCTGGCGTGTTCTGACATGAAATGTTTTTCTTGTCTGGGGAGTGTAAATGGTACGTTGACTAGGAAGGTTGTGGAGTCTCCTCTGTGACAAGGTTTTAAAACACATTAGACCTTAGGCAAACACCTGTGAGGTGGCACAGGTACAGCTGATATGTGTGTGAAAGAGGATGGAGGATCTGAGGATCAACTCTGTTCCATCATTTAAAAAATAAGTATTGCTATATGACTAACAAACACACAAACAAACAAAAAGGATAGGAATGTGGAAGAGAGAAAAGTTGCTTGCGAAAGAATGAAGTCTGGCACAACACAGGCAAGAGCCTTTGCAAAACCTGTACACACTGGTAGTTGAAACTGAGTCACTTTGGATGCAGTTCCAGTACTCTGGAACCTGTAATGGGAACAAGGATCTAAATTTGCATGCATCAAAATTAAAGGCTGCATTCTTGCTAGCTTCTTAGAGTGTAAGAGGTGGTTTCATATCCGAGATGAGGGGAAGAGAAAGTGTAATTTGCTAGTGTACTGCTTAATGAGGTCTGAAAATAAAAATGTTCTTCTTACTATTATTTAGTCCCCTAAAGCATATCTGATATTCTTATAAAATTCTTGTAAAAACCATAAAATTGAATGTGTTATTTGTAAAGGCTAAGAGCACTAGATGAAAAAAAAAAAAGAAAGAAATACAAGACAATCCTCAGGCCTCTAGTTAGGCAAAACTCACATGAGGAATATGGGCCCTAACCTTTTATTATTATTTATAGAGAATGCTATACACTATTGCAGCTCCTTAACTTCTTTAAACTATAGCAAGGGGGTAAAGTCTTGATTTTGTTTGCAGAGCACTTTGTGAACTATGGCTGAAAAGTGGAACTACAGAACTCTCATTAAAAATTATCTTTTCTCTTTTCCAGAGAGATCGGTGCTTGCCCAGCCAACATTTGTCTTTGAGAAGAAGGACCATCCTTTGAAGGTAAAATCTTAAGCTTTTGTTTTGTATAATTGATAGAAAATGGTAAAAAGTGAAGATTTATAGACAGTCATTCTAGTGGCAGTGGAAGACTTCTGCCTGTGTTAAGACTTGTCATAACTGAGCTCAAAATAGAACAAGCAAAGGTAGAGACAAGACTGCTTTATATATATGTATATGTGTTGGATTGACAAACTTTGTATCCTGCTCTAGAAAATGGACACTTCTTGTCCATTGTGGACACTTCTTGACACTTCCACCCTTCTGTTTTTTTTTCAGCGACCTGCAGAAGACCCAGTTTGCAAAGCTGAAAATGGTAATAATCACTTCATTGAAATAGTGTAATAATACACTGGGTTATTCATAGATTTGACCATTGCCTGTGTGAACAGTGTTTACACCCTCACCTTGTATGAGCCAGTACAAATCCCTGTTAACAGCCTCTCACTGCCTGGATTGTAAGGCCTCCTAGTATTTCCTGGTATTGCTCTGTCTTTCCTTCACAATCTTTCTCCCATTTTATCTCTGAAATTTATCTCAGAGAGCTGAACTCCAGAACTTCTGGAAAATAGGCGAGAATATTCATTAACTGTATTGGTTCTTATCTGCCCTTTTCTATTCACGTAGGCCCCATCGCACTATAACTTCTCATTCTTAATGCATTCTGAGCCTGTGGGTGCTGAACTCATTCCAAGTGCTGGTTCGAGATCCTCTGACACTGGCAGAAATAAACAAGACTCTCCTG